GATGGAGATTATGAAGGCAACATGTTTACGCTTCAGCCGCTTTATTGAAACTTGTTTTTTTGGAAAGTTGTGAATCTGTGTTGATTTTCGGCATTGCTATTTTCTTTGAAAATTCCTTTTCATTTTTACAACAATTTTATTCAGATATTTGTCGGCGTCTTCTGCCCCTCATTAAAATCAGTGCACAAACAAATTTGTCATTTTAGAGTTTTGTAATGGCTAATCGACAGGAGTTATAATGAAATTAAGGCCTTGTTTCCGCATTTAACCTGGTAATAGTTCAAGACATTTGCGAAAAGTTGGGTAGGCTAGCGAGACGATTTGAGGAATTATAGACTCACAAACGGCAGACGAATTCTACATCCCAGCCAGCCGTTGATGTCGCTATGCCTTGAAACATTTATTTCCCAAAATATTTATAGATAACTTTTTTGAACAAAATTAAACTAGGAAATTTACGCTAGACTACGTTGACCATTAATTATTCTGGAAGCGTAGAAGCAATACTAGAGCCTGTCCCCAATAATCGCAGCTCGTTTGCCGGTTTTCATAATTGAAGTCACACACGGTCGTCGCATTATTGCGAAAACGTGTTTCCGGGTCACTCGGTTTTTTGAAACTTCTTTTTCTAATTTTGTTCGTCAGTGACATTTTTTGGGATTGAAATTTGTTTATATTGAATCTTAAATTGTAGTTTACCATTTCTATTTTTCGAATCTTCTACCCCGTTGTTAAAATCTTGTTAAAAAACAAATTTAATTTTAGAGTTGTTGGTAGTGGGCAACCGCAACTCGCAGATATTGCGAAATTAAAGCCTTGTTTACGCATTTAGCATGGTCAAGTTTTGAAACATCTGTGAAATGAAGGCATGCTAGCAGAGACATTTCAGGAATTCTGGACAGTCAAACGGTGAGCCAATTCTAAATATCAGCTAGGCGTTGACGTTGCAATGCCTTGAAACATATATTTCTCAAAATTTCCATCGATTGACCTTTTGTTCCAAAATTAAACTCGGAAATTTACGCTAAAACACGCAGACAATTTTTCGGAGGTGTAGAAACAATACTTGCGCTTTTCCTCAATAACCTCTGCTGGTTTGCCTGGTTTCCTACTTGCGAATTATCGGGCAAACGTGTCTCCGGGTCACGCATTCTTCTGAAAACGTCTTTTGCAATTTGGTTTGTTTTTCACATTTTTCGGGGTTGCAATTCGTTTATATTCAATTTTAAGTTATAGGTAACCATTTCTAATCAGAATTGGAATTACCTAACTCATTAAACCCCTGATATCAGTGAAAGAAAGAAATTTTTAATTATAGAGGTGTGCAAAATCGAGGTAAAGAGGAATTATGGCCTTGTTGACGCATTTAGCATTGTCAAGTTTTGAAACATTTTTGAAAAGTGGGGCAGGCTATCAGAGACAATTTAAGTAATTATTGACTTGCCAAAGGTTACGAATTCTATATGCCAGCGAGGCTTTCATGTCGCTATGCCTTGAAACATATATTTTTCAAAATCTTTATCAATTCTCAAAATTAAACTCGATCTCCTTTTCTTATCAAAGTTAAACTCGGAAATTTAGGTTAGATTATGCTGACCATTATACCGGAGGGTTTAGAAGCAATACTACGTGGTTTCCTTAATAAACTCCGCTGGTTTTACGGTTTTCATAATTGGAAAGTTAACACCATTATTCATTATTGGGAAACCGTGCCTCCGGGTCACTCGGTTTTTTGAAACTTCTTTTTCTTCTAACTGTTGGTCATTGACATTTTTTGGGATTGAAATTTGCTTATATATTGAATCTTAAACTGTAGTTTACCATTTGTATTTTTGGAATCTTCGACCCCGTCGTTAAAATCTTGATATCAGTGCACAAACAAATTTAATTTTAGAGTTTTTATTAGTGGGCAACCGCAACTCGCAGGTATTGCGAAATTAAAGCCTTGTTTACGCATTTAGCATGGTCATGTTTTATAAAACTCTGTGAAAATGAGGCAGGCTAGCAGAGACATTTCAGGAATTCTGGAAAGTCAAACGGTGAGCGAATGCTAAATATCAGCTAGGCAGCTGACGTTGCTAAGCCTTGAGAAACACATATTTCTCAAAATTTCCATCGATTGACCGTTTTGATCAAAATTAAACTCGATGTCCTTTTCTCATCAAAGTTAAACTCGGAAATTTAGGTTAGATTACGCTGACCATTATTCCGGAGGAGTAGAAGCAATACTACGTGGTTTCCCTAATAAACTCCGCTGGTCTACCGGCTTTAATAATTGAACCCACACAGCGTGGTCGTATTATTGCGAAAACGTGCCTCCGGGTCACTCATTCTTCTGAAACTTCTTTTTCTAATTTTGTTTGTCATTGACATTTTCCGGGGGTTGCAATTCGCTTATATTTCATTTTAAATTGTAATTCACGAATTGTTTTCGGAATTTTTTTAGCGTTTTCTGAAATTCTTTGGACCCCTCATTAAGACCTTTGATATCAGTTCACAAACACCTATTTAATTTTCATTTTTAATTTTAGCGTTTTGCAATGGTCAATCGAAAGCCGCAAAACATGGTGAAATGGAGGCATTGTTTACGTATCTAACAGTGTCAAGGTTTGAGAGATTTCCGCAAAAGTTAGGCAGGCTAGCAGAGACCATTGGAGGAATTCTGAAAAGTCGACACGGCTAACGAATTCTACATGCCAGCTAGGCGTTGATGTCGCTATGCCTTGAAAGATAGATTTTCCAAAATCTCTATCGAAATCTCTACCTTTTTCATCAAAATTCACTCGGAAATGTAGGTTTTATTACGCTGACTGTTATTCTCGAGGGGTAGAAGCAATACTATCGCTTTTCCCCAATAACCTCTGCTGTTTTACCGGCTTTAATAATTGAAGTCACTCACAATGATCGCATTATTGCCAAACCGTGCCTCCGGCTCACTCGTTCTTCTGAAACTTATTTTTCTAATTTTGTTCGTCATTGACATTTTTCGGGGTTGCAATTCGTTGTGTTTCATTTTAAATTGTAGTTCACGATTTCTTATCAGAAAACTTTAATATCAGTGAAAAACAAACGTAATAATCGAAAATCCATTTAAAGCTTTGTAATGGGCACTCGAAGAAGCATGCCTAGTGAAATTACGGCCTTTTTTACGCATTTAGTATGGTCATGTTTTGAAAACTCTGCGAAAGTTAGGCAGGCTAGCAGAGACAATTTGAGGAATTCCGACTCGAAACCGAGGGATAATTCTAAGTATCAGTTAGACGCTGGTGGCACATTGCCGTGGAACATCAAAATTTCCAAAAGATATCTAGGTTCTTGTGTATTAGCGGGGGGAAACCGAACTTTTTTCGGCCTAAGCCTATATTTTTTATATAAATAGTGGAAGTGTTTCTAAATTGTTTATAGCTATTCCTAAACATAAAAACTTTACAAAATTTTTATTAAAAAATTTAATTTTAGGTCGAAAAATCAATTTTTCGCCCAAAAATGACAACATTTTTGATTTTTTCAAGCATTTTCTAACTTTTAAAAAAGTTTTTGCTATTAAAATTGGCTTAAATTTAGCTAATAACAATGTGAAAACACTTTATATTTGATTACTATCCCCACTAGGGCCGACCGACAAAAAAAAAGTTGGTTCCCCGGGAATACACAAGTACCGATATCTATTAAATGACCGTTTCGGAATCAAACGAAACTTTTAGACTTAAGTTACCTTACTTTGTACCTTCAATTGGTGGTTTTAAGCAATACCTGAGTTTTTCACCAAAAATCTCTGCTGGCTGGCCGCCTGTCATAATTCGAAAACGACGAAATTTTATCAAAAAATTCACAACATTATTAAGAAAACCTGCCTATGAGCCACTAGTTTACCTGTAACTTATTTTTTTATTAGGTTTTTGGTATTGAGAATTGCTCCTCAATGCTATTGGTTTATCTTTTCTTTCTACTTTCGGGTGCTTTCGCATTATCGGGGGGGTCAAAATTAAACGCAGGCTATTCCTAAACGTAAAAACTTTACAAAATGTTATTAAAAACGGCAATAATATCGATTTTTCGACTAAAAAGGCCGGTTTTCAATCAAAATTTAAACATTTCGTTTTTGTCTTTTTTGCTTTTTGTTTTAAGTTTTTTTTCAGATATGTTTTATCTTAAATTTAGCTCGAATTTGCTAAAAACACTAGAAACAAAACACAAAACTTATTAATAGCAAATTGGGTTATTCACCCCCAGGCCCGTAAGAGGGGGGGGCGAGGGGGGCGAGCCGCCCCCGAAATCGGCCGAAGGCCGAAAAGTTCATAAGGGGACCCTTATGATTTAATTTTTCCAAAAAATTTTTTGCCTGCGGCGCTGTTTTTGGCTATTTTTAACACTAGTTTTAGTGTTATAAACCCTATATTTGCAAAAATTTTGCCTGCGGCGCTGTAGTTTTAGTCATATTAGTGAAAAATTTTTGGGGTCGCCCCCCCCGAAATTTGGGTTTGTTACGGCCCTGTTCACCCCCCGATTGTGCACAAGAACATAATTTATCAAGACGGTTTTTAATCCGTGTTTCTCATTCCAAAAAACCTGAAAAATCCTCAAATTTTGAACAATCTTGTTTAGTCTTGAAGAGAGGCCAGCCAGCAAAGGTCATTTAGATCTGAATCCGAATCCGCATACTGAAAAACCCCCCGAAACGCTTTATTCCCAAAAAACACACACACATACGTGCCCAGACAGGAAAAAACCGTAAGAAACAATTCACAAAACGAGCAAGAGCACCAAAATTAACATCACAGCGGAGATTAAGGCAGGCGAGCAGAGAGGTTCGAGGAAGCGTTCGTGCAGAGGGATTAATTTGATGCCAGGAACCCGAGAGACAAAAGGGGAGGAGCATGAGACACATGAGATCGACGAGAAAACGCGGGTGTTAATAGTAATTGATTGGATTTGGAAACGCAAAACCGATGATGCATTAATAAGGAGCATGAGGTGCTTCGGTTTCTGAAGCCGCTTCAGAAGTGGAGGTCCTGCAGCTCCGTCAGAATGGGAGGAGGCGGAGATGAGGTCGAGCTGGCGGGCGGAGCATCTACCGGAGTTGAGAAGTCGATCAGAAGCTGCAATAAGGGGGTAGGCCAGCAGAGATTGTTGAGGAAAAAGAGAGGACAGGCTAGCGGAATTCCTTTGAAAACGCCGCTCACAATTTCCTCTTCCACCTCCGGCTCGCTGGTCATCGTCGTCGTGGTGGTGTTGGTGGCGGGCGACACGGACGTGCTGGCGGAAATGATGGGCAGGGCCTGGAATTGGGTTCCAAGGGGGCGTGACAGGTGGTTCAGGCTTAGGCTTAGGCTTAGGCTTAGGCTTAGGCTTAGGCTTAGGCTTAGGCTTGGCTTAGGCTTAGGCTTAGGCTTGGGCTTAGGCTTAGGCTTAGGCTTCGGCTTACCTCGTTGAACTTGGCCAATGCGGTGGTAGTGGGGGTCTGGGTGCCCGTGTTGAGGTTGTCGTTCGTCTTCGGGGATTCGGGAGCAGGAGCTCGAGTCGATCTGTTTTGGGCTAAAAACGCAAACTATAGAAGAGAGGGAGAGAGAGAGAGAGAGAGAGAGAGAGAGAGAGAGAGAGAGAGAGTGAGAGAGAGAACACAAACTCACCATTCTGCCGACGCCGCAACGCATCATGGTACGCGCCGCGGTGCGCGGCGAGCAGCTGCCGCAGCCCCGGCACAACGTAGTCCATCGGGTCGGGCGCCGTGTAGCCGTGCAGATGGGGAGAGTCCTTAGAAAAGGAAGACTAGCAGACATTTTTTGCCGAATGGGGGCGGGCTAGCAGTGACCATTGAGGACCCCCTTCTCACCTTCCACAACGGCAGCCGGGCCAGGTGGTCGATGGAACGGTAGTGGAGCGGGGACTCGAGCTCGAGCCCGAGCCGCGGCTCGCGCCTCGGCCAGAGCTGGGCGGTGGGTGGGGCTTGCTAAAGGAGAATGGGTTCCAAAATGGTCTCTGCTAACCTGCCCTGAAAAACACGTTAAAGCCTACCACTTCCGGCTCCGGGGGAATCGAGCCGGGCAGGCTGACGGCTCCGGCGCTGACCGTCGGGGAGCCGATGATGCGGGTTGAGGTGTCGGCGACGTCAGCTTCTGAAAGTTGTGATTTCTTCAGCAATCTCTGCTAGCCTGCCCTCTCCTCTTCCTCAACAATCTCTGCTAGCCTGCCCTCTCCTCTTCCTCAACAATATCTGCTAGCCTGCCCTCTCCTCTTCCTCAACAATATCTGCTAGCCTGCCCTCTCCTCTTCCTCAACAATCTCTGCTAGCCTGCCCTCTCCTCTTCCTCAACAATATCTGCTAGCCTGCCCTCTCCTCTTCCTCAACAATATCTGCTAGCCTGCCCTCTCCTCTTCCTCAACAATATCTGCTAGCCTGCCCTCTCCTCTTCCTCAACAATCTCTGCTAGCCTGCCCTCTCCTCTTCCTCAACAATATCTGCTAGCCTGCCCTCTCCTCTTCCTCAACAATATCTGCTAGCCTGCCCTCTCCTCTTCCTCAACAATCTCTGCTAGCCTGCCCTCTCCTCTTCCTCAACAATCTCTGCTAGCCTGCCCTCTCCTCTTCATCAACAATCTCTGCTAGCCTGCCCTCTCCTCTTCCTCAACAATCTCTGCTAGCCTGCCCTCTCCTCTTCCTCAACAATCTCTGCTAGCCTGCCCTCTCCTCTTCCTCAACAATCTCTGCTAGCCTGCCCCCTCCTCTTCCTCAACAATCTCTGCTAGCCTGCCCTCTCCAAAGTCACCCACCCGGCTGCTCGAAGGCGTATTCGATCAGCGCCTGCACCGAGTCGACGTGGGGCAAGCGTTGCGTGACGGTTTTTGCCTATAAATAACTTTTAAAGGACCCTTGAAGGCGAATCCTTAAAGAAATCCACTCCAAAAAAGCAAAAAAGCAAAAAATCATGACTACCTTCTCCCATCCGAGGATCGCGGCCACCTGGTTGAACACCTCCTTGGCACGGTTGGGGGCTGGAAAATGGAATTTTTAGGGGAATGTCCTCAAGAATCTCTGCTAGTATACCTCGAGAATGTAAAACGTAAGTTTTAAAAACTAATGAAAATAAAAATTCAGGAATAAAAATCAAGAATTTACTGAGCGGCTGCCGCTCGGTGGAGTTGTCGGCAATCGGCTGGGTGGGCGAAGCGACGGACTAAAAAAAACCGAAATTAAAGTATTAATTTGTCTTTAAAGATCAGAAATTAAATATAGGTGTAAAATTTATTAAAAAAACTGGTTTAATTCGGTAAAAAATGCAAACTAGAAACTACAAAAATTTACCACGTATTGGGAGCGGCGCGCGTGGGTGCCCGGCGGGTTGTTGGGCTAAACACATAAATTTTTTGTATGTGTCCAGAATTGTCTAGTAGTGCAATAGGAAGTATTTTAATATTTTTTTGGTAAAATAAAACTATATTTCAGTAGAAAAACCATCTAAAAACTTCAAAAATTCCTCAAAAAGTAGCTATTTTTTGCCCAAAACGCTATTATTTTTTGTTTTGTAGTAAAATCTTGGTTTTTGGTACAAAAAAAGCCAAAATTCCGCGCGGCTCCAAACTACAAACCGGGGCCACGCTGCCGTCCAGGAGGTCGTTGTGGGGCACTTGGCGGAACGGGCCGTGAGACGAGGTTCCGCCGCGCCACTCGTAGTACGCGTCGGAGCTGGACGGAAGAAATTGTGGGGGCTACGGTAGGCTTGGCTTAGGCTTGGCTTAAGCTTGGCCTAAGCTTGTGCTCAGGCTTATCCCCAAAGCTCACTGCTGATCGTAGCGGCGCTCGTAGACGGGCTGCGCTCGCACGCCGCAATCGCCCGGGTGGTGACAGTTACGGCAGCACGGAGAAGCGCTGAAAATGGGCAGGATAGCAGAGATCCTAAGGACGTCGGCCCTGCGAGGGCAGGCTAGCAGAGACAATTTGCGGAAGTAGCGTACCCAGAATTGGAGTATTCGCGCGGAGGCTGCCACGGCCCACAGCTCGGCGGCATCTAAATTTAAGTGGTTTAAATTCAAGCAAAAATTTCACTAATTCCGCCGAACAAACTACAAGCTACAAAAACGCACCCCGGGACGTCTCATGTAGCCGCCACCACCACCGCAGCCGCCGCGCTGATATCCCGGCTGTTGGTTGGGATATCGAGGGACCGCCGAGTGGTGCCCAGAGTAGGCTTCTGGAATAGTTTAAAAGATTTTACAAGGTTTGGCAGGCTAGCAGAGATCATTTAGGAAGCGCATGTTAGCCTTACCAGTTGCATATCGCTGCTGGCTGCCGGGGCGCTGGCCGTAGCGCAGCGGCGAGGTCGCGTCGCGTCCGTATTCCGAGCCGTCCTCTTGGTGCAGCCCGCGGGATGAGTCGCCGGGGTCGCTGAATTTCCTCAAATGTCTCTGCTAGCTTGCCCAAGCGGGTACGAAGCAAGCTAGCAGAGATTGTTGAGGAAAAGGAGAGGGTAGGCTAGCAGAGATTGTTGAGGAAGAGGAGAGGGCAGGCTAGCAGAGATTGTTGAGGAAAAGGAGAGGGTAGGCTAGCAGAGATTGTTGAGGAAGAGGAGAGGGCATGCTAGCAGAGATTGTTGAGGAAGAGGAGAGGGCAGGCTAGCAGAGATTGTTGAGGAAGAGGAGAGGGCATGCTAGCAGAGATTGTTGAGGAAGAGGAGAGGGCATGCTAGCAGAGATTGTTGAGGAAGAGGAGAGGGCAGGCTAGCAGAGATTGTTGAGGAAGAGGAGAGGGCAGGCTAGCAGAGATTGTTGAGGAAGAGGAGAGGGCAGGCTAGCAGAGATTGTTGAGGAACGGACTCAGATCGGCGGTAGTGACGCCGCTCCTGAGCTTGGAGGCGCTCCTCGGGAGTGAGGAGCTCGAGCGGGCGGATCTTGAGGTGCAGCGAGGTGGCCGGGCGGATCGGGAGGGCCGACTGGAAAATAGACATGAGAGCGAGAGAGAGATACAGAGAGAGAGCGAGGGGAGAGAGGAGCTCGATTACCATGTCCAACGGGGTCTTCGGGGTGAAGTCGGCGAGCTTTCCGGCAAGGAGCGTCCAGGCGGCTGAAAATGAGCATTGGGCAGGCTAGCAGGGATTCTTGAGGAGCGTCCCAAACTGAACAAATATTCCAACCCTTATTCGGGACGATGGCGGTGAGGCGCTGAACCCAGATTCGCTGGTCGGAGAGGCGCATCTGGAAAAGAGGCATCAAAAACAGCTACAAACTAGACTACAAGCTACAAGCTAGAACTCCCATACCTGATGATGCGAGCAGCGGCCCCACTCGACGTCGCTGGGAGGGCAGCGGAGGGTGGTCTACAGAGAATCGGTTCTTGTGCATTAGCGTGGGGCATAAAATTGCGCCCTTGATACACCCCGATAACGGAAAAGAAGCGAAAATACCAACGTTTAAAGTGGGCCCATTCCGGCCCAGCGGTCCATCCATCGGAAAAATCAGGTCGTCCCCGTTAAACGCCGGCATCAGAAGCCTAGAAAAAAGCTTAGGCTTAGGCATAGGCTAAGTCTTACTTTTTCTCGATCGTCTTGTCGAGGTTGGGCAGCTCGTCGAGGATGGCGTGCATCTGGCTGCGGGCCACCACGCAGCCGCCCGTCTCCCGGGCCCTCGTCGCCAACATCCGGTTCACCTCCACGTACTTGTCGGGGCCAAAGCCTGAAAACGCGTTTCAAAGGATCTCCGCTAGCCGGCCCGGATCCGCAAAAATCTTCGCCAGCCTGCCCACCAGGCGTGAATTCGATGAGGTTCAGCCGGAAGAGGTGCATCAACTCCGTCCAGTTCGAGCTCTTGTCGGCGTAGACCTTGAAGCAGTGCGGGAGCAGGGCGACGGCCTGAGGAAGTTCAAATGGTTTCTGCCAGGTTACCGTATTGCTCAACAATCTCTGCTAGCCTGCCCTCTCCTCTTCCTCAACAATCTCTGCTAGCCTGCCCTCTCCTCTTCCTCAACAATCTCTGCTAGCCTGCCCTCTCCTCTTCCTCAACAATCTCTGCTAGCCTGCCCTCTTCTCCTCCTCAACAATCTCTGCTAGCCTGCCCTCTCCTCTTCCTCAACAATCTCTGCTAGCCTGCCCTCTCCTCTTCCTCAACAATCTCTGCTAGCCTGCCCTCTCCTGTTCCTCAACAATCTCTGATAGCTACCTGATGCCCTCTGGAGATGAAGTACCACAGCGCAATCGTCACTCCACGAACGTGAAGCCGACGATCTCGATCCACTTGGTGATAGCTTAAAAAAATATTTGACGTGTTTAAAGGGACTGTGAAGTCTGAATCCCCTGGCAAACTCACGCGAATCCAACTTCCACGGCATTAATGTAAACGGGACGGAGCAGGACGTGCGGCTTGCGCTCAGAGAGTACGGTGCCCGACTCGTCGGCTGGAAAGGGAATATTTTCATAGCATTAACGAGCAACTATTTCTGAAGTTTTTTTTTTATTTTGTGGCTACTGTATCTCGTAAGGCCTATTTTTTTAAATCCAGCGTTTTTCATGACCGGGAATTTTTGGAAATTTCGAAATCGGTTTAGTTGCTGTGTTTTTCGAGACTTTTTGCTTTTTTTGCCTATTTTGCCTTATTTCTCGTGACGAATTTTTTTAAGACACATTTCGCCATCCAGACAAAGACTTGCAATTTTTCTATGGATTTTTTTCAGTTGTCGCATGGGCCACCCGGGGCCCAGATTTCAATCGCCCATCATTAGCGCCAGGCAAAAAATTCGTCTAGTCATGAAATGAACCCGGAAAATTCTGAATTTATGGTAAAACGTCAACCTGTGATGATTTCCGGCTTTTTTCTAAAGGTCTGTCGAGCTGGGGGAATAAAAGGGCGGAATTTTGGATAGCAACCTGATTTTTCGCCATTTTTTGTTGTAAAAAGCCTGATAGGCTAGCAGAGACAAGTTGAGGATCCTGAGGGCAGGCTAGCAGCGATTCTTCAGGAAATCGGGCAATTCTACCAGGCAGGCTAGCAGCGATTCCTGCGGAATCTTGGCAAAGATACGGGAACCTTTTGCAATTTGAAAGAAACAACCCCTTTAAAATTTTCTGAAACCTCCTTTGGATTTTTTTACTTTTCGCCTGTCCAAGACGCAAAATTGCCTCAAAAATCTCTGAACCCAAGTTTCCTCACTTCCTAATCCCTTTAAAAACCTGCGAAAATCCGTCCCACCAGATCCGGATTATCAGGCTAATCCGGCAATTCACCGGAAATGCCCTGAGGGCACGTGAGAATTGTCCTCTCTCTCTCTCGCTCTCTCTCTCTCCCTCTCCTTCTCTCTCGCACGTTCCCTCACTCTCGCTCTTTCTTTCTATATCTTACTCTCTCTCCCGCACTCTTGCTCTCTCTCCCGCTCTCTCTATCTTTCTCTCTAACTCTCTCACTCTCTCTCTTATCTCTCTCACTCTCTCACTCTCTCTCTTATCTCTCTCTCACTATCTCACTCTCTCTCTTATCTCTCTCTCGCTCACTGCCTCTCTCCAACGATAAACGATAATCCCCCAGCACCCCCAAAAACTTTAATCACACCCCCGAACAAGGCCCCCACCCCACTTTGTTTTTGATGCGATTTAGGGAACCTAGCGGAAGTGCTACCGTAACCCCTCATGGGACCGTTTTGGGACCCGCCCACGAGACGATAATCCCCCGTAATAACTTTTATATCATTACTTCTAGGGATTTGCGGATTTGGGCCGATTGTCCTGGCTGTTTTTAGGGGAGCTACAGACTACAATGCTTTTTTTTAAGAAGGACTTTATTAAGGGGCAGGGGAGCGTTCCTCAAGAATCCCAGCTAGCCTGCCCTTGGGAATCTTAGAATTCGTAAAAAATCACTATGTCAGCCAAAATTAGCCAAAGACCATTGCTAGCATGCCTTTCCAAACTTTTCGAGACTTTACTTATTCTTAGGTACTTTCGCATTATCGGGGGGAGGGCGAATTTTTGTTTTATACTTCCAGGAAAATCTAGTAATTAATAACCAGTATTTTAATAGAATTTTTAGTAAAAATTGAATACATTAAAAAACCTAAAAAGCTAAACAATTTGAAAATGCGAAATTTTGCTATAAAATGGGCCATTTTATCGGTCCTAAAACCGATATTCCGGGTATGGTATTCTTGTAATAAAATTTTGTATAGTTTTCACGTTTAAGAATCGTAAAAGCCCGTTTAAAAAGGCCCCCCCCCCCGATAATGCACAAGCCCGGGATTTCCGTAAATTTTCCGAATTTCCATTATTTCGCGCGTTTCCGCAAGTTGTCTCTGCTAGCCTGCTTTCCTTCCCGGAAACGCATATTCCGCGTCACTCCTATTTCCGTGTCCGTGTCGCTCCAATAAACGGGGGCTGTTTAAAATTCGACCCCCCCCCCCAGGGCTCGTGGAGACTTTTCGCCTGCCCCCGAAAGTTAATTAGCCAACCGTTGCATTTGTTTGCATTTCCGGGCAGGGGGAGTGAACGCCCCAGTTTTCAACCGGAAACACGAGCCAATTTTCCACGCGCAACTTTTAAAAATTATGCGTAAAATCTGGAGCTTTCTCGTTATCGGGGGGGGCGGGGTTTCCATAAGAATAGATTTTTTCTATGAATCTAGAAATGTCTCGCGACGTTGTAGTAGCTCTTTTAATAGTTCTTGGGAAAATTTAAATTTCAAAAGATTAAAAAAATTGTCGAAAATTCGATATTTTTTGGTATGTTTTAATCAAAATTTGCCGAGCTTTTACGTTTAGTAATATAGTAAAAAACCATTTGGAAACCGGTCCACTATTTATATAACAAAACGGACTTCTAAGGAAAATTTAAAAATTCGTTTCCCCCCTCCCCCCGATAATGCCAAAGCAACCACGAATTGTACTTCATGCAAACCTAGCTGATAAGTCTTATTTGACTTTTAACTTAAACTTTTGCCATTTAATGAAATGGCTCAACTTTTTGCCGGAAACAACAATTTAAATATGGGAATTTGCATTTAAATTATACTTTAAAGGGAAGACTCTAATTTACCCCCCCCCCCCCAGACGCCCCTTTTCTCTGCGTCCTCTCCCCAGGCCTACTATCTCTTCGCCTGCGCCCTCTCCCCCAGGCCTACTGTGTCGCCTGAGGGGGGGGTAAACTAGAGTTTAGCCACTTTAAATTTACCGTTAAATGTCAAAATTTACATACGGCTTCATTTTAAAGCTTTCCCCCTCGAAAATAGAGCCCAAACTGCCTCACCACTAGCAGAGAGCGGCTGCCCGTCGTCCCAGGAGTAGCCGAAAAATTGAGGGGGCGGAGACATCCGGGAATTGCGTTTTGTAGTTTCTTGTCGAGGTTCGGTAGAAAATGAGAAAATCTGAGGCTTTTTGATCAGTATCAGCTAACCGGAAATCCGCTGGAAGATATGCAAATTTCTGCCGACTTCCGGTCAACTTCCGGTAAGCGCTGTACTCGAAAATCGATTCCCGTGGCAAGGCAGGCTAGCAGAGATTGTTGTGGAAGAGGAGAGGGCAGGCTAGCAGAGATTGGTGAGGAAGAGGAGAGGGCAGGCTAGCAGAGATTGTTGAGGAATCTTCCCTTCCATGTCCCTTTAAAACCGCGGCTCCACCTCGCCCCACCGATCGCTGGCATTTTCGAAAGATCAACCGGGCCCCAGGGTTATTCCTGCCGACTTAAGGGGTTCGTAATTCAATCCGGAGGGCCCGAAAAAGGCCGTCCTAGTGGTCGGGCCCCACCCTCCCATCAGCTTCATAACCGCTTACCCCCTCGCTTGAAATTTTAGCCTCTCCCTGGGCCCCTAGCATTTTGGTCCCGGGGCCTTGGTTGGGCCCTGTTGTGCAGAAAAACCCGGGCCAAGTGGAATTTGGTACGACTGAGCCTTCCGCAACGATCTGTGCTAGCCTGCCCAGCAGGGCCGTAACAAACCCAAATTTCGGGGGGGGCGACCCCAAAAATTTTTCACTAATATGACTAAAACTACAGCGCCGCAGGCAAAATTTTTGCAAATATAGGGTTTATAACACTAAAACTAGTGTTAAAAATAGCCAAAAACAGCGCCGCAGGCAAAAAATTTTTTGGAAAAATTAAATCATAAGGGTCCCCCCTTATGAACTTTTCGGCCTTCGGCCGATTTCGGGGGGGGGCGGCTCGCCCCCCTCGCCCCCCCCCCCTCTTACGGGCCTGCTGCCCAGGTTTAACATGCTCGAAAATGATGTTCTCACTTTACTTCATGACCTCGCTCGCTCTCAATCTCACTCTCTCTCTCTCTCTCTCTCTCTCTCTCTCTCGCTCTCTCCCTCTCACTTTTCTAATTTTGGCTCCAAAATGATCACTGCTAGCATGCCCTGGTTTCCCAAGGCATCTCCGCTAACCCGTCCTCAATTCCACAATGACATCTGCTAGCCTGCCGAGATCGCTATTTCCTAAAAGATCTCTGCTAGCTCCCCAATTTCCATCGCTGGCTAAGAATCTCTGCTAGCATGCCCCAAATCACCCAAATCCGCAAGCATACCCTAACCATTTCACCACTCACAAAATCAAGCCAGTGACCTGAAAATAGTCTCGTATTCTCTGCACTCCACCATCGGCTCGCCGCATTCGGCACGTCACCGCTAGCGCTGCTGCTCTACTCCGCCGAGCCAGAAACCAGAGCCGCCATGCGTATGCGTGCCCCAGGGCTACGCGGGCCCACCACCACCCAATCACCCTAGAAGTTGTGCCGATGAATATTTGAGTGCAGCACCCGATTTCGGGGGGGCACACCCCCCGAAAAAGTTGCCGAAACGGAAAAACTTGGATCACAGATGTACACCCCCGCTTTGGTTACCAAAAAAATCAAAAGAATCTGACTTTTTATCTAGCTTTTTGGAGGATCGGCTCCTCAATAATCTCTGCTAGCCTGCCCTCGCCTCTTCTTGGCTCTTGGCTTAGGCACAGCGTGGGCTTGGACTTAGGATTAGGCTTCGGCTTGGGCTTAGGCTTAGGCTTTGGGCTTGGGCTTAGGCTTAGGCTTTGGGCTTGGGCTTAGGCTTAGGCTTTGGGCTTGGGCTTAGGCTTAGGCTTTGGGCTTGGGCTTAGGCCTAGGCTTAGGCTTAGGCTTAGCTTTTGCGTATGGTTCTGCTTAGACGTCGGTTTCGGCTAAGGTTTCGGCTTGTGCTTAGGCTTAGGCTTAGGTTTTTAGGCTTAGGATTTGGTCAGGCTTAGGATGCTTAGGCTTAGGTTTTGGCTTAGGTTTAGGCTTATGCTTAGGCTTTGGCTTCTTAAGCTTACGCTTACGTTTGCTTGCTTAGGTTTTTAGGCTTGGGATCAGGTCAGGCTTGGGCTTATGCTTAGGCTTGAGCTTCGGCTTAGGCTTCGCTGAGGCTTAGGTTAGGCTTAGGCTTCGGCATAGGATAAGGCGTAGGTTTAGGCTTGGACTTTGAGTCAAAACATGTTTAAGACCCTACTACCCTCCATAATCTACCCACCCCCATAATGCAAAAGTACTGGCTTACAAGACATAGACATAGCTTAGCTCCCTCTCATACGTTGGCTTAGACTTTGCCTATTCGTAAGCTTAGGCTTAGACTTGAAGCTTGGCTCTAGAGAAGCTTCCTTTTTAGCACGCTGGATCGCTAAATTTCCTCATGAATCTCTGCTAGCCCGCCCTCTTCAGACCAAGAAATTAAAGCCGTTACCCCTAGCTACCGTATCCCCTTCCTGTCCTCCGCAATAATAGCCCCTCTCCCATCGGCTATAAATCCCGGCGCGTCATCTGCCACTGGGGGGTGTGCAGGGGATTGTCGTGGATGGGCTGTCACCAGATTTCCCCCCGAGGGTGACAGCTTCTTCTTCTTGGAAATCTTAGCCCTCTTCTTCCGCTTTTTTGGGGGTGCACCACCAAAAAAGGCGAATTTTACGAGCAATTGCCCAGGAGACCCCCGGAGATTCGGGATTCTCGACCTCGATATTTTGCCCACCCACATTTATTAGTGGCTATGGGAGTTTTTGGGGTGCTAGCAGAGATTCTTTGCGGAAAAGCAGAGGGCAGGCTAGCAGAGATTGTTGAGGAATAGGAGAGGGCAGGCTAGCAGAGATTGTTGAGGAATAGGAGAGGGCAGGCTAGCAGAGATTGTTGAGGAAGAGGAGAGGGCAGGCTAGCAGAGATTGTTGAGGAAGAGGAGAGGGCAGGCTAGCAGAGATTGTTGAGGAAGAGGAGAGGGCAGGCTAACAGAGATTGTTGAGGAAGAGGAGAGGGCAGGTTTGCGGAGAACTTTGAGGAATTTGGAATTCGGATCTTTCGCATTATCGGGAGGGGGCTTTTTCATAATGATACTATTTTTTTATACAAATAGAAAAGGCGCTTTTTCTACTTTTCAACTGCTTTTCTATCCTTAAGTGCAAGACATTACAAACCGGGAAGTACAAAATATTGATTTTTCGACATAAAAAATGCCGATTTTTGACAAAAATATCGAGTTTTTAATTTTTAAAAATTTTTTAGAATTTTTTTGCTTTAAATATAGCCAAATCTCACTAAAAATCCCTACTATTACTTTTCTAGGCATCTCTGGACTTTAGAATGCGGTTTCTCCCCCCGATAATGCCAAAGCCCCAGAATTTCGTTCTCGGGCAAGCTAGCAGCGATCTTTTAGGATCGTATTTTCCGTTTTCAAAACCCCCCATGTCTTCAGCTACAAAATCAAATTAGATTCCGCGTAAAAGCCCATTAGTCAGGGTCGGGTTCCTGAACTTTCAAGGCCTCCCAAAAATTTTCCATGGGTCCAATTTTTCGGGGAGGGCCAGTCACAATAGGGTGGCCCCGAGTTGGTGGGGGCCCAATTATGGGCCCTTCTCAGGTCTTTTAATCCGGTTATGGCGCTCCTAATTTGTTTGGGGCCCATCGGGGGGCGGCGGTGGGGCCCAGGTTTTGTAACTTGCGCTTCGGCTTTGGGTAGGCTAGCAGAGGATCTTTGGGAAGGTCATTTTACTGTTTTCGCTTGTTACTGAGAAGATGCAATTAATGTGTTTTATTCGATTTCCATCACCAAAACGGGTGAAGCATCTTTTCGCAATTATTGAAGATGTTGGACTTCGATGAATCATAGATTTGGGCTGGGCAAAAAATGCCGAAATCCCGACATTCAAAATCCCGACATCCAGAATCCCGACAGTCCAAAACCCGACAAAAAAAATCCCGTCAACATAATACCGAAACGACAAAATCCGGAAAAAATCCGACAGGTCAGAACTCCGAACGAGTAATACCGACAACCAAAATCCCGACAGCGAAAATTCCGACAAGACTAAATCCCGATAGCCATAATCCCGACAAACATAAAATCCCGAAAAGACAAGATCCCGACAACCAAAATCCCGAAGGCATAATACCGACGGCCAGAATACCGACGGCCGAAATCCCGACAACCATGACCCCGAGGATACAAACTCCGGACAGAAAATACCGACAGCCAGAAATGCCAGGTTTTAAAACCATATATGGGTAAAACGACTGGAAATATTGCATTTTGGATATCGGTATTTCGACATGTCGGAATTTCGGCTGTCGGTATTTTGTGTCAGGAGTGTCGTTGTCGATATTTTGGTTTGCCGGGATCTGCCTTCGGGATTTTGCCTGTCGGGCTCCTGCCATGTCGGGATTTTGGCAGTCGGAATTCCGACTGTCGGCATTTTCACCATCGGGTTTTTATGGCAGAAATTTCATGGTCGGGATTATGGCTGTCGGCATTTTAAATATCGGGATTTTTGCCTCCAGTATCTTGTCTTTTCGGGATCTCTGCCTGTCGGGATTCTGACTGGAGCCCTTCTCAAATTGTCTCTGCTAGCCTGCCCAAGGTATGCGGAATTCCAGTTAACCTCCTTCCAAAGTTCCGCCCATATCCTGTGGGAGGCCATAATTCAATGGGGGGCCGGGCCCTAATTCTGGACAGCTTCGGCCAGTCGGCCACAGCTTTTCTCGGCCGCCCCAAACGAATTGCTCTATCAATCACGCGAGGGGTGAAGAAATGGGGGGAAGAAGTGTCAGACGATTGAAGGCATTTTTTCTCTGATTTCTCGCGCTCTCTCTCTCTATCTCTCGCCTCTTTCTTTTCTTCATTAAGCTTTGTATCGATGTTTTAAACGAGCCCGTAAGGCGGGTAAGGCGGGAGCCTTGGCTTTCGTTAATTAACAGATTTTTTGCTCAAAATTTTTTGCTATTTTATTCCCAAAAGGCAGTCGAAATTTTCAGATTGTGATTCCTCAACAATCTCTGTTAGCCTGCCCTCTCCTCTTCCTCAACGATCACTGCTAGCCTGCCCTCTC